ATATATATATGTATATTTCTTTTTTTTTCTTTGAATTAAGTTAACTAAAGTTTATACACGTTATTCTTTTCTCTGCCAAGCAGAAATGAACGGAACGAGAGATTGTATTGACAAGGTTTAGCGTTAAGTTTACAATTTCTTCTTTAACATTTCATGCACTTCTCTTCTATTTGGTCTACTTGTTTACTATTGTACTCTTTTGTTCTTTTAGATAATTTTGGGGGAGACGTTCGGAACGTTTAGGATGAACGTGTTTAGGAAAGGTTTGGGGCTGAGAGACCGTGTTCTCTTTTAGTTGCTTCGTCGTTTGTATTCATGTAATTTCACGTAGGAATTTAAATATGTAAAACAAATCACGCGTGTATATATAAACCACAAATTAACGAACTTTCGTATGCATTCGGAAAATAAATATGAAAAGGGAAATAGAAAAATCGCTGGATCTAAAATCTGAATAAAATTCTTTGTATTCATCCCTTATGGTTCGAGAAAAAAAAGTCGATTGTGTATCATACACAAAATTATTTTCAAAATTATTATCGTACTTCTTTATGAGAATCGCGCGTCTTCGAGTCACTTGTCCTTTTTTTCTTTAAAAACGCCTTTTGAAACGCGTTACTTTGCGAAAGAAGAAATTTTCGATTGAGCTTAAGACACGGAAATTTTATTATTAGCGTTAACGACGAAGATTTTTTCGAAAACTGAAAATTTGATTTCTGCGATGTTTCACAAGGATGGTTTTCAACGTCTCTTTCCATGTTGTTGAGTTTCGCGCTGTTTGACCGTATCCCGGTGCGAACACACATTTTTAATCGCGTACATGCGAATGAAAATACATACACACATACATACATGCATATACACTAACATGTACCCGCCTAGGGCCGCGCGTAAGTACATATAAGGAGGGCGCGGTAGCGCGCGTACGCGTTGCGTGCATATATCCACGTTAACGAAGCCACGCGGTAGCGTACGCGCGCGTATGTACCATTATTGTATCACGGCGTAGGATAAAATGTTGCATGTTGTTTCTATAATATGTGTTTTACGGATTGAAAATCCTTTAAATAGATGTCGTGTGTGACACAGCTTGGCAAGGCGAGGCTTTACACCGCAAGTCCAACGATCATTTGCATTTCGCGAGTCATGCAAGTAAGTGAACAAAGTAAACGACTGGAAGATGACGAAATTTGCGTAGAAGAGAAATATCAGTTCTCGAATTTCGATGAGCGGTCAAAATTAATTGGAAATCGTCAGAAATCGCTTCGACAAAGTATACGAAGGGCGTGATTGATAAAAATAGCTAACGAAAGAAATGGTGATCACGTGGCAAGTAAATTGATGAAGTACGAAAAATTTCTAACAGGCTGAAATCAGAAGTTCGACGAAGATCGTTGCGTTCTCGCGGAGTAAAGCTAAGGGGAGGCTAAGAGTCGATGTTATTCGCTGCACCTGAGTGCACTGACAACTCTCATACTATACCGTTTAATCGTCGTATAGTATAAAAAGGAAAACCAATTAATAGTACTATACCATAGTTGATAATGATTGCATAGTACATGTATCACGCACTCGTAAGCATATTTAAACGTGAAGGGGAAAAAAAAGTATAAAAAAAATTGATAAAGACATATAAGGAACGCACGCGTTACGAGAAAAACGTAACGCACCTTCTTCATTTTCTTCGCGGCAACATTTAATTGATTAATTAACGATTAATTACGATTACTATTATAATATTGTAAACTGTACGTAGGGCTCACACTGTCGCATAGCGGGGCTTCGATTTCAGCGGCGTGCGACTCTCGAATATCGAATAATTAACGTAGGCAAAAGCGCGTGTTCGAGCGGTCGCGAATTATAGTACAAAGTAAACTATTATATAATAATGTTAAGTGAGGTCGACGAGAAACGCGATGGTTAACAGACAACCGATTACAGATCGCGAATTTTTGTAAACTTACTATACACATAATTGAACGATCGCAGTACGATATGAGTCGGCATTGTGACGTCGATAATGATGATGATAACGTCGACGATGACAATTTGTATGATACGTAATAATTATAATTGGACGGGCAGAGAAACGAGCATCAGTGGAACGGTCAAGGATATCGACGGCCGCAAATTTAATTAAGCTTGTCACATTGCATTCTTCGATTCTCGCCGTTCGTTACGCAGGGTACTGTACGGATTCAATTAATAGGGATATTTAATTCTGTTCAACGGGCCGTAGTCTGCGTCAACGATCGTTAATAATCGTCGTATTTTTTTCATTTCAATCTTCGCTTCATTCGCTGGACAGACAGATCGATTCACTTGTTGCAATAATGTTACCATTTTTCTGTGATCCTTGAATAATACCGGTAAATGTTTAACTGGTTCGCGAGCCACGTTATCCGTTCGAAAGGATACATTTCAGCGATTGCTGATAGATGGACGAGGACACATACGTTTTACTCTAAGCAGTGTAAGTTGAAAATGCTCGTTACATATCAGTTTACAGAGAGATCGATGGCCGTTGCTTTCACCTCGTTTCACTCTTCGTGTGTCCTCTTCCGCTCTTACTGGTAATCGCGAGAGAACTGATTGTTTTCTGACTGTTTAACGTGATCGTAGTTTATATACCAAATAGCATCGCAATAGTTTATTATACAATGTAGTTACAATGTTGTTGAGATCGTTTTTACTACGGACTGTTCGATCATTTCGTTGCATCGTAGGCCGCAGAGAGAGAGAGAATGTAGAACGGTTCTCGACACGGTGCAGGTGCATAGAAGACGACGGTACGTGGTATCGTGCACAGATATGTATTTATGAACGATACTTATAGGAAATAGAGACCCTGTTATATACGCGTATTAGTAGTAGAATGGAAGAAAAAGACTGGTGAAACTCGAACACTGCCACATGATTCGAATCCTTCCGGGATCGATCCACGGATGCACGTCCTGACGCCGTCCGTCACGGTAACGGAAAACACAAATACTTCGTCATATTACAATACTAGTACAAATACTACCTCACACAAGACATACAGGGTGCAGAAGAAAGAAAAATGAAAGAATAGAAGGTTAAAAATAAATCTGTACATAAAGGGAAAAGAACGCACAGATTAAAAGAAAAAAAAGAATGGGAAGGCGGTATTTTGCGATAGAATCGATTGTCTCGAAATACAATTAAAAAAAGGACAGTGACGATGAAAAGAAAAGAATGATGATAAAATGGGAAATAAAAATGTAAGATGCATGCAGACGATAGCTAACAGAGATCAGAATAAAAAAGTTTGGAAATGGGACCGGTGACGTCTTAATACGACGGCACGTGACCCGCGCCACGAGTCCTTTTCTCAGGAATATGGGAACCAAGTACAAACTACAAAATATAATAGTCGATAAGATTTAAATAACATAAATCAATAATCAACCGATGCAATAGTTGAGTGTATAGTAGGGATCGTCGGTGTATACTTTTTGCACCGTTTCTCTTCATCTCGATCACTCTGTAACGTCTAATCTTTTCTCTTCTCTCGCTCATTCCCATTTCACTTTCTCATCCCACTTTTCTTTCCGTCTTTTGTCCACGTGAACATAATGTTGTTAATGACCACTGCTGCTGATCATGCTAAACGTGTTTCGTGGTCGATAGCGTTTACGCTGCATATTGCGTATTACTTAAATGTAACAATTAATTTTATGCATTCAGATGCATGTATCATTTCAGTTTTTTTCCTGTTAGTTGGAACTCGCTCTTTAGAAATCTTCGACTCTCATTCGTCTACTGGTTCGTTCTTTATAGGCGAATGAGAAAAAGAAAGGGTTGTTCTCTCAACTGCAACGCAGAAAAAAAAAATGTAGATCGATGAGCGAAGGGACAGATCTGTCTTAAGAAAGAACCAATTAACGAAAATTAATTAAATTAACGTGGACGACGATCAGTTTCATCGTGTACTTCTTTCGATTCACGAATCTATTAAGTCCTCTATTATCTTTCGAATATTCGATGATCCTTCGTTTTATCGCGATGCAATCATTCATCTAAACTTAAGGTCTTTGGACGCGTCAGACTCTTTTCTCGTTTCTCTCATTTTCCACACCACAAGGCTACATTCTTCGTGGTTACCATTGCTCCTGTTAAGATGCATTTGTTCTCTGTTAATCGTTTTGTTCCTTGGTGTTCCGCGATCGGACGAATGTCATTTTTTAATTGACGTACGTTTCCTTTTTCTTGATTGTTACCTAAATTTTTTAAGAATGTGATACATTCTTATATTTCATGTATAACTTCTATTCCTGTTTACTTTTGTCAAAGGTGTTCGATATCTATTTTTCTTTTTATTCTCATCGTTTTTGTTTCCTTAAGAATGTCATTACTACTTTTGCACGAGGGAAATTGATTAAGCGGTCCAGTAAACAGAAGCATCCGTCCGGTTGCAATTTCATCATCGACTCTCCAAGACAGTCAACTTCCTCGGCGAAATCTCTCCTTTACTTTCATCGTTTCATTCTTCGTTCACCCGATTTCGTTATACTCCGGCAGTAAAGCCGACAAACGGTGACCATTTCGTTCAAATATCGCGTATCTATGACAACATAATCTACTGATAATAATAATAATAGTAATAGTAATAATAATAGATGTATACGAAACCGCTTCTACCTCAATGAAACAGAATCTACACACTTAATATACACGAACATGTATACAAACGCAAACACACAATCGTACAAACGTACACGCACACACAGTAAGCATAGACCATCACATTAATTAGTTAATTAACCGATTCGTACAGTTGTATAACGTTTAAGGTTCCTCTTCGGTTTCTCTTTCTCGCATCGAGTCCCGTAATGAGAAGTATTATTTTTCTATATGACGCCAATTTTTTATGGTACGAAAATTAAAAACGGAGAAGCACACAAGGGAAGACAAGTAAACCGCGACAGAAATTAATATAACACATACAATGAAGTACGTAAATATTCGCACACACTTCGAGATTGAATAATTTTTTTAATATTGCACCTAACGTATTAATTCTTTTTAGGGCTCCGACAAAATTTAATTCATTAAGTCCAACATTAAATATATTATTCAACTTCGAAATGTGTACCAATGTTCATAGACTTTATTGTGTGTAAACCTTAAAAATGATATTGTACGATAAGAGGAATACAATGACGAATTGAATTACAGTTGCCGGAAGCTGCCACAAATAAATAGGTATATCGGATAATGATACTGACCACTTCATCCTTCATTTTTCCCTATCCTTGTTTATACTCCTTTCACTCCCTCCTCCAGATCACCCTTTCCTCAAGCACCCGAATATATGTAAATAACATCCGTTTATATTTATTTATTTATGTTTCTATGCGCTGGACGCGTCTATATTACACGCAATTGCAAATTAATCGATAACTATTCCTATTGATAGAACGAAAGAGTACACTCATTTTTTTAATATAAATATGAAATGGATATATATATATATATTATATATATAGATATATATATATAAATATATACATAGATAGAGTATATTATATGTAATATTAACGGAGGTACTTGTTTAGCTCGTAAGATGAAAAGCCCCGAACTCGTCGCCCCGCGATACGACAACCGCAAGTCGAAGACAAATGGAATAAAAGAAAATATAAATATAAATGAATATATATACATATACACACACACACAGTCACACGTAAAGAATGCAACAGAAACACACGCGTAAAAGGAAATGTGAAGAGGTGGAGGATTAAATGAAATAGAATAGAGAAAGAAAAAAAAATGCGATACGCAAATTGCTCGATCATGCGATGCACGCCACGCGATATAACACGCTTCTCCTCATGTGTATGTGTCACGAGCGAAATCTCGCTTCCCGATCGACTGCGGATCGACAGTGTCGAAAAGACGGTCTCTAGCTATTTTTGCTTTAAGATTAATGAAATGTATAAGACTCGTTGTCAGAAGAAACGTGTCCGTGACTTGATATCTGTTTTTATTTTTTTTTTTTTTGTTTCGTTCTTGTTAATTTGTAAAGAAATTGTTATATAATTTGATTTAGTTCTTACGCTACAGCAATTTATCGATTAAAAGGAAGTTAAGAAAAATTAATTTGAATTTTATAGTGTTTTGCTACAAGAAATAAATGGGGCACTTGTTTCCCAGAGGAATCTTATATTTCACGGAAGAAATAAAGATATCCGTCTTTTCAGTCCATGTATATTCTCTTTCGATCGGATGTTCTTGTTGTATTTTTCCTCGTAAACGGGAGGAGAGGAACGGTCGTGGCTTGCACTGCAGAGCGACACGGTGGTTACCAATTATGTTTTTAGGTTGAAAGATTAAGTTTTGCGTTACGATTATGAAGATAAGTTTGGGGGAGAAATACGTAGTAGAAAATGGAGAGACAGTGTGGAAGGAAGGCGTTGGGGATGAACGGGAGAGTGACACAAAGACGGCAGAATGACGAGCCTCTACTCTAGCATGAACGGAGCGTGAAATCCGACTGTATTGAGTTTTTTGTGTAGATACGCAAAAGTAAAAAGTACGACACAGTCTGCATTAATTGCGAAATTATTTTATTTATAAAAGCGGCTAGCGCGAGTGCATTTCGGAAGTTCGTTTCTGGTGCGATTCGAATACGTCGCGAACTTGTATAATTTATGTAAAACTCTTCTCGAGGATACTTTTCGATACATTCAAAATGATTAAGATGGCATGAACGAGTGAACGAAGCGTGAATGAGCGAATGGATGAGAGAGGAAAAAATGCGCAGAAACGAATTAGAAACGAAGAATGAGTCGAAACTCTGCCATCTATAACGATCCTGAAACGGGATTAGAATGGAAAATGAAATAATCATAATTATGATATGATTCATGTATTGAATGTTCTGGAAGGGAAAGTATGTCAAAAAGCAACAGAGGAGCACGGATTGCAAAATTGCAACGTTACAAATATATATATATATATATTCTTTTTTCTTTTTTTCCGAACGCGAACAGGGTGGCAGAGGTTCGTGCTACGCCGAGTCGAGTGTAACTCACCCTCTTTTTTGTTTGTATAAAAATTAATCGAAATTTAATTAGGCTATTAATAACTGTTCGATTACTGTAAAACAAGAAAAATTTACCATTAATTATAAATTACAAAAAATCTGACCAGCTGTACTTTTTTCCCCTTCCTTATTATTCTATTAAAAGGAAGTTAAGAAAAATTAATTTGAATTTTATAGTGTTTTGCTACAAGAAATAAATGGGGCACTTGTTTCCCAGAGGAATCTTATATTTCACGGAAGAAATAAAGATATCCGTCTTTTCAGTCCATGTATATTCTCTTTCGATCGGATGTTCTTGTTGTATTTTTCCTCGTAAACGGGAGGAGAGGAACGGTCGTGGCTTGCACTGCAGAGCGACACGGTGGTTACCAATTATGTTTTTAGGTTGAAAGATTAAGTTTTGCGTTACGATTATGAAGATAAGTTTGGGGGAGAAATACGTAGTAGAAAATGGAGAGACAGTGTGGAAGGAAGGCGTTGGGGATGAACGGGAGAGTGACACAAAGACGGCAGAATGACGAGCCTCTACTCTAGCATGAACGGAGCGTGAAATCCGACTGTATTGAGTTTTTTGTGTAGATACGCAAAAGTAAAAAGTACGACACAGTCTGCATTAATTGCGAAATTATTTTATTTATAAAAGCGGCTAGCGCGAGTGCATTTCGGAAGTTCGTTTCTGGTGCGATTCGAATACGTCGCGAACTTGTATAATTTATGTAAAACTCTTCTCGAGGATACTTTTCGATACATTCAAAATGATTAAGATGGCATGAACGAGTGAACGAAGCGTGAATGAGCGAATGGATGAGAGAGGAAAAAATGCGCAGAAACGAATTAGAAACGAAGAATGAGTCGAAACTCTGCCATCTATAACGATCCTGAAACGGGATTAGAATGGAAAATGAAATAATCATAATTATGATATGATTCATGTATTGAATGTTCTGGAAGGGAAAGTATGTCAAAAAGCAACAGAGGAGCACGGATTGCAAAATTGCAACGTTACAAATATATATATATATATATTCTTTTTTCTTTTTTTCCGAACGCGAACAGGGTGGCAGAGGTTCGTGCTACGCCGAGTCGAGTGTAACTCACCCTCTTTTTTGTTTGTATAAAAATTAATCGAAATTTAATTAGGCTATTAATAACTGTTCGATTACTGTAAAACAAGAAAAATTTACCATTAATTATAAATTACAAAAAATCTGACCAGCTGTACTTTTTTCCCCTTCCTTATTATTCCTTATCGATAAAAAGAATGATTTACAATAGTTAAGTTCAATTTGTTCTTTAAAATAGTATATTCATTTTTTTTATTTCGATTAACAGGTACAATGATTTAATTGAATGTGCGATCGATGATCAAATCGCTCGCCCGTTCCGCTATTGCGATTAAAACGGAATTTGGGTTACCAGAAATGGGAGATGGTAATACACTGGCGTCTACTATTCTCAGCTTATTGACGCCTTTAACTCTGTAACAAAAAGAGTTACAAGTTCAGTATACTTTTGTCATTAATAAAGAAACGTACATACATATGTGATCTTATGAATATTTATAGTATATTATAAAATAATAAGATTAAACTATTAAGAGATCCTTTCACTGCTCAGCGCGAAATATCTATTCGTTACTCGGTACGAAATATTTCACGTATCTTATGCATATAACAGTTTGCTCCGCAAAAGATTCGGAGACCTTTTAAAACGAAATAACTTAATACGTAGCGTATTTTATATTTAAGGAATCTAGAGTGTCTTATATTACGGATTTTATTAAAAAATTCAGATAATAAAGATAGACACCGAAGTAGTCCACATTAACGAAGAAGTTAATATTTTAATATGTAAATTGAAGTACTTTACCGTAATTTCTCGTCGACGACCGCACGATCGCCAGCACCCATCCTGCAGGTGCCGCACATGTGGTAACAGGTAAGACCGCCGACTCTCATCACGCATTCAGAGTATTCGACGTTCTGATAATCTTGTCGCAGGTGTCTGCATTCCTCTAGATCGGGGTAATGAACCCTCGCGCCGTACTCACGAAATTTGGGCGTCTCGAGTGTTCGAATGGCGAAATTTATGGCTGCAATATCCTCCCTCGTCACGCAATGCGCGATCCAAGAGAAAACGATCGCGTGAGAATCCATCAGATTCCATCGCGACATAAAAAGTTCGCTTACCTTCGTGGGTGCACAGGACGTCGTCGTACCGTTGAAGATACGCGGGATCGATTTTCGGCTGGTGACGGATATTGATGGACCTAAGTGAAACAGTTCCACGACTTTTTGGTTGCAAGCAATACGACAGGAATAGGAATCCTTCGTGAGTACTGCTGTTGTACGACGGGTACAACGCTCTATAAGGCTGTAAATTTATTTAACACAATTTTAGATTTGTCAAAACACAATTTCGATAGAACGTTTACCTCTGTTTTGTAATTAGATATGACTTTTAATATTCTCTCGTCAGTGGAACCCATACCAGAAAGCATAACGCCGCTGTCGTTGGTACGACCTACCGCCATTATAGCATTGGTGGCATACCATCCTTAACAAAAGGTATAGTTCAGAAATATGTAATACATCATAAGGAAACGAAAAAAGAGAACATTTTTCTGCACACCTCTCCCAAAAATGAAATAGTTAAGTATCTCGGGAAGCGTTTGTAATTTGAACAGAGTTATGCTCACGTTTGCCACAAGATGAACGTACACCGGAAGCATAAAATGATCGAAGAGGTTCTTGCCTACTTCCGGAAGATTGCTCACTACTGGTATCTATATAAGTATTTAAGTTTCCGCATTACGTAGACCGATTTGGTTTTTCGTAAAAGATTATAAAAAGAAATTGCACTTATAGAATTTGAACAGAATCTATTAGATTTCAAATATTTGCTTATGAGAAAGTCTAATAATTCGTCACCTGAAATTTATCGAGATCTTTTGCTGGCCCGATTCCTGAAAGCAACAATAACTGAGGAGTATTGATAGTACCAGCGCAAAGGATCACCTCCTTTTTAGCAACAATTCTTCCTACTGATCCATCTTTGTAAATCACCTTGACTCCGTCTACGTTAGAATTTTCTTTAAAAAATATCTGAAAATTCATAAAAGGTCTATTCAATCTAGAAGTTGATACATTTTATCGCTTTTTTTTTAAAGACCAAGATAGATTGAATATTGTTTAAATGAAATATTGAACGAAGTAAAATCGTGTAAAAAAATAGAATCTCACTCTTGAAACCAATGTGTTCGTCAGAATGTGCAAATTCCTTCTGTTCCAGGCATTTTGCAAATGCGCGTGAAATGTGCTCCATCGGGAGCCTCTTTTAGTCGTGTACATCCCCTTTTGTAGAGTCACATTATTCAACTTCAACGATTCTTCCGCCATTAGAAAAGCTTCTGCCAGGTATTCATCCTCTGGGCTGGACATTACGTTCATAATATCGGACACCTTTTTAAAGTACGGAAGTAGATCGGCGTGCGACCATCCCCTGGGCCAGGCTTTGTAATCTTCCGGCTTTCCGAAAGAGTGAACCAGATGATTTATTTGCCCGCTACCGCCCAACCCTTTGCCCCTCGGTACTTTTTGCACCTGTCGCAAAGTTCAATTTATTCATGGATCGACTAGTTCGTTTGCGAAATTTTTAGTCAATTGATTTTATAAATTTGAAATGTTGTATCATTTTATGACAGGCTACGTAAGTATCTTTGGCGCTGAGCGTTCATACTATCTCATAGATTCTTTCGCTCGTTATTTGAACGACCAACATTACAGCAATGGTGTACTTAATATTTGCACGATTCGTATTTTTTATAAGTAATTTAACGCGGTCTACAAAATCTATCTCTATACAATTCCATTATTGAAAAGAACGACCGTGTGACGATGTCTTCCGCGCTACTTACGAAGCGAATAGTGCTGACAGGATATCGAAATCTTTAGAGTTAGTTTCCCGTGTTGTAATTATAAGATTGCGTTAGAACTTGTGTAATTAAGTTTCATTTACGTGGTTCCAATATCCTTTCGATGAGAATAGTTGTGGTTCCGTCGAATAGGACCAATCGACGTCGGTTCCTTGCAGAACTGGCGCTAATATTGGAACCGATGATACCCATCCAAAGTGTCCTCCAGCTTCGACCAGTAAAACTGTTACGTTTGAGATCTCAGAGAGACGTGATGCAACTACGCATCCTGCCGTTCCGGCACCAACTTCATAAGTAGAACCATTTAAATATATTATTATACTTTTCTTCTCTTTTTAATTTCCCACAATGTATATGATGAGTCATTTAACTCTATCGCCTAAACTTACTCGAAAACTATTTGTTGTATCAAAAAGATGCTCAAACGCTAATGACTTAGTATAAAGGCGATTTTTTACTTGTTATCAAGTAAATTAATACGGCTAATTTTCCAAAATATTCCAATCGTTTGGCCTAATTTTGAGATAGTTATTCTGTTTAAAAGAATGTACTCTTATATTGCCCCCGATTGTATAAACTGAGCACAAGTTGCATCAGTGTAAAACGTTTATACCGAAATCCGATTTGGCTTAGCTATACATCAAGTAGGAAGAAAGACAACTACGAATTCTATGAATCTAGCGTGGATATGAAGCAGAGGATTAAACGGATTCTTCATATCTGCTTTTTCTTATTTAAAATGACGACGCATGCGGTACTGACAATGAGATTATTGGGATGTTCTACTACTTGCCGATTATGTAATCGTATTGTGTCTCAGGATACTTGATGATGCTTGCCGGGCCGTTGAAATAACAATGGTACACTAACGATATGAACAAAACGAGGATCGAGACCAGCACATAGTTCCACATCGTGCTTGAGGTAAGCACGATGCATCCACGATTGGTATCGGGGCTAGAACTACAATGAACTAACAGCGGTCGGGGTTCAGAGTACTTCCAATATTAAATTAGCATCTCGGAATCGATAGTCGTTTACAGTAATGGAGATGAAGGTCTGTCACAATACACGATAACAGTGAATAAATTAAGAATTAGGTCAAAATTGTGTGACGATGAGAGTGAATAAAAGTCCAGGGCAAATATTTTCATTTGCTTTTTTTGCTTGAAGTACCTATAATTTTGCATTCTACAATTCGATTAACACATGAATTTAAATATAAAAATTTAACATGTTTTGTTTCGAAATTTTACAAATATTTCTTTTATTTGTCTTTGACAGTAAATAAATAATTGAGTACGATAAAATTCCAATGAACAATAATTATTTCTGAAAATATTTCAATGACTGCGTAATGAATTGTTATAAGCCGTATAATTCTGACTAAACGTCACAACAATATAATGTTCCTTAAACCTGCATGAAAAGTTGCCGGGCGGGCGTAGAAAGGGGGATTTGTTTGAGTCTATGAGCCGTGAGCATGTATTGCCAACCGAAAGGGACGGAAAGCTAAAAAAAGGGGAACATGGCGGTCGCTACGAACTCTTTCGATAGTTGGCTCAGCAAGAAGTTACAGTCTTTAAATACAGACGAAGGTGTTTTCGGATCGTACATCAAAGGAATTTTAGAAGGTGACGAGACAGAGGATGAGAAGACCGAAGCCCTTGAAGGCATACTCGCGGGCATAACGGTGAGGAGCACACGGATTGTGAGGTTAGAATATGCTTGCTGTTCGTAGCCGGTCATAAATAACAACGGGATTATACTGCTCTTTTTGTCGTCGGCTCGTATGTCGTCTTCATGAATTCAACAGGTTTCGTTATTTCGTTTTTGTGCGTGCACACATAAATGTCGCTGATATTCATATCTATTTAATAATTCAGCAATGTTGTGCAATACACAATTGAATGACTTTAAAAGCGACTCTTCTATTTGACTAACTCTGTTACTAATATCATTTATTTTTTAGGATGAAAACATTAGTAAACATGTGACAGAAATTCTAAAGGCTTGGGCTGAGTGGCTGCCTATCAAAGAAGATACTACTCGAAAAGAGCCAGTGGAAGATGTAGATGTCAGATTGGCACGAATGCTGGAATCTCAGTCTCTTCCTACCACTGCGCAAAAGAGTTATACAGAGGAAGAAAGGAAAATAAGGGAAGCTATTCTGGCACAGTATAGTCAAATGTCAGAGGAAGAGAATAGCGAAGGAGATGGAGAAGAAGATGGTGTAAGTGCTAGTGACTGTGGAATTGAAAAGAATACAAATGTAACTAACATTATACAACAAGAGAAGGAAAAGAGAGAAAAGGCTAAATTAGAAAGTCAGAAAAAGAAAGAGAAAGACAAAGAAGATAGGTATGTTTCCAAAAATGAATATATATCAGAAGAATGGTTATTTAAATACTTTAAGTCTATTGCTTTAATATTTAGAGAGAAACAGAAACAGTTGAGAGAAGAGAAGAAGGAAAAGAGAAAGACTCAGAAAGGAGAACGAAGAAGGTAGCATTGGGACAACAGGATTTTATGTCTTAAGTCGAGTTTTCAAATAATCATATACATCTGCGTTTATTCTTGTGTATGCAATGTTCTCCAACGGCTATGTCAATCGTGTACTAATCCTTTATTAGAGATCGATGTTTGTAGAATGCATATCCCGAAAGAACATAACTTAAAACAATATCTGGAATAGCAAAATGTACATGACTTACTGATTGTAAGTAATACCGATTATATCGTAGATGAAAAGTATTAATTATACCATGTATGTATGTACGTAACATTGCATCCTGTGCCTTCTGCCTGTTAAAAATTTCTGTCGAACGACTTGATCTTTTCTAAAAAATTATTTTTCTACTTATTCTTTTTGTGTATATATATATGTATATATATACACATTCAACTTTTTTATCATCTGTACTCCGGATGTATTCAGTTCATGTCTCCAATTTTTGTTTGGAATAACAGTAATCTGTCTGAAGCAATAGAAATAATATACTTCGAATACAGATACATGATTTATATTTATCGTTACGCTTGGCGTACTACATCTCTTTCATTCTGTGGATCACGTGTATTTAAAACGATTACATTTAAATAAATCACTTAAACATTCATTACGCTCTTGTTTCATTCTATTAGGTAACATGCATTACTCTTATTTTATCATTCATAATAGTAGGATAATAATGGAAACGATAGTTTTATGTTTGTATTTTTTATTATTATATATTTACACACAAGATACCGTGTTGAAACCGAGTCATCTTGGTATTGCATTAATGATGAAAGACAAACGCAGTAAGATAAAAACAAACGAACAAATGATACAAAAGATGATGATGCTTTCAGTATTGTATCGTTACATGTACTAACGTCATTATCATAATCGTTTTATTATTAGCAATTCTTCATTTTCGTTCACTATAATTAAGTTGGGCAGAAATTGACGAACTCGCATTTACACGATCATAACAAGTTCTCTCCTTTTCGCTGTTCAGACGCTGAGTTACAAATCAATCGGTATCAATTCCTGCTCTCTCACTCTCATTTTTTTCCCCTTCCTCTCATTTCGATCTACACTTTCTCTAATTCCTGTTAATATGTCCTTTCCCCCTCCCGATTTTAAAACGTTTCCTCTTTAATCCTCATTTTTTGCGAAGCTCGCAATTTACACGTCGAATAAAATATTCTTCGTGCAACGTCTCAAAGTAATATTATATAATGTAACACACGCTATCACATTCCTAAAGAAGAGAAAATCACAATTAAAATTTACGCTATCGATCCTTTATATCTCAAACATGCGAAAATTTGTGTGTCGTTACCAAAGATATATTTATTATTACATTTGTACATGCGTTTTTTTTTTTACCTCAAGGGATACGTTTTTCTATGTTAACCACATAAAGTCTATTAATCGTTTATAAAGACAATGACGAAAAAACTTACACAATATACGGAGAAAGTTTACAAATTCCGTTGCAGTCTCTCTCAATCGGCAACAGCGCAAAAAATCTCGATGAACAATCGAACATGGCTCACGACGAAGGAGGAATAATATTTTGCTACCTTGAAATTCTATGTAAACGCACAGCTATTAAAATTTTTAGCTAACACAAAACTGTTGTTCGTGATTGTCCTATCGGGATACGTTAATTGTATCTAAGAACGATTAACGCATTGTAAAATTCTGTAAAACTTTATTATAAAATAAAACTGACCGAATAAGTGTTGACAAAAATACTCTCTCGTATATTAAATAGGATGTAATTTATGCATTATCAAGTGAACTTATTTTATGCAAATACAATTTGATCACCTAAAGATTAAATTGCTCAAGCAGTGTGACTTGGTAAGAACTTATAATGGTTTGACTTTTCAATGAGTGAACGAACAATGCGTTAATTGGTCGAGACAATTATTTCGTGGTAGATAATCGTACGCTAAGGGTGTAAAATTGCGTCGACGGAGGAGGGGGAAAAGGGACGGTCGTGGCGAAGGCAATGATCTTGCCGTGTACGTACAGTTACTACCTAATTGAATTCGTTAGATCTAATCACGTCGTTAACTCGATAATTAGTTACACGTTGTTCTAACAGATATGCGCTAAGAGCATTCCACGCTGAAGCCCGAAAGAGAGTTCCTCCTTCCCTTCTTCCTTTTGTTCTACGCGGTACGAGTTTAGACTATCTTGTTAGACCATCCCCTTTTCTTTTTGTCGTAGCCGTGCCACGTTTTCGGACTAGAAAGCGACTGCCGCGTGTTCTAGAGCTTTTGATTCATCAAATATCTGGTTACCGATAAAGATACTCAGATAAATTTTTGTCTATCCAAACATTTCGGATACCTTAGTTCACTAATCCTATCGTGTCCCTACAAGTTTCCGATTTCGATTATTAAACCGACAAATCTGGATCGCGAGGTGATGATTTTTCGCGGCATGATTTTTTATCAATTCAATCTCATCAGATACAAGAAATTCTGTTCTCATAGAGGATACGTCAACCGATTATTCAAGCTCAAATACCTCTTCGTTCTATACATTACTATTCTTCTTTTTACGTATTTCTAAAGAAAGTATACGTCAATTTTTTGTTGTTTTCGTTTATTTAGGCATACGCTGTCTCATGCGATACGCGTATGCATGCTTCGGTACATGTTTTACGTACGTACGTATTTTAACCGTGAGACAGTCGGTTTACGTAATTAGTCGATCCTAACGCATGTAATTTGATCCCACTGTATACAATATAGTGAACACAACTAAAAACTCAAGGACTGTACGATCGACACGGACGATCCTCAACAATGGAAAACTACGTACGAACTTGCCGTGTTTTTGAATCTTTCGTGTTAAATGCGTTCAATCGGCCTGATTAAACTGTTCTCACAAAAACCAACGCAATTAGGGATAATAACTCCTTTTGGCACGCTCTTTAATTAAATGCTTGATTAACATGTTCGCTGCCAGTATCGAGATATTCTCGTCAGTATATAATTTTTTAGCTTACTTCAAAGTATTTGTTTTGCTTTGACTTGTATGAATACACTACGGATATAGAAAAGTGATGAGTTCAGCAAAGTTTATTTGAATAATAATAATAAGAAGAAAAATTCGAAACAATTGTTTATTATTCGCAAATAAATTTGCTGCCCAAACCAGATTTATTGGAAGCATTTACTCAATATCTAACTAGAGTGAACATGTTAAGCACGCGAAATAGCGGCAGTCGTAGCGCGATGATTATTGTATTCATCAAACGTCGATCTGTGTTCATTACAACTTGATGAACAGTTACTTCATCGAACACATTAGTGTACGTAATATACATATATAACACATATATGTATATACAGTGGCTAGAAAATGTACTGACACAATTACTGTATTTATTTTAGCGATTAAGCATTTATTAATCAAATTCTATTATTCCATGGTACTTTCATGAAATTATTAGAGCTAATATTTTGGTAATCAAAGATAGATGTCGATTAAAAAATACGAGTGTGTGTGCCAATACTTTCTATGGACACTGTATGAGCGGAGAACGTTCATTAAAAAAGTGATGCTGCGCTTTGAAAATTTGGCGAACAATTTAAATACTAGGATTGAACGCGCGATCGAACAGTGCCGTCGGGAAGGGGGTGTAATAGTAAAAGAGATTAGAGGATTCCACTTACTGGAGCTACGTTGTTCAAATGGTCTCCTCTATTTTCTAAATGAATACCCTATATTTAACTCGCTTTTTTCGCTTTTGCGTGATTTTTACTTAATACGTAAGAGTCGTATATGTATAATATGTATATGCGATAATGTTTAACGCATTCTCGCCGGACACATTCTCTCCTTTAACGCGTTATATCTTCTTTCTGTGTCTTCCTTTCTCGTTTCTCCGTTCTCTTCATTTATCTTCTCACACATGCATACCGACGCGTACGCGTTTTATCTCTATTAATGTTAGTTTTTATTATACACAATTTGATATTTCGTGTTTCGCTATAAATCTATCTGAGTGTATGTCTGTTGTTCTTTTTAATTTTTTACGTGTGTGTGTGTGTGTGTGTATGTGTTAACGAGTCTATTACGTGACTTAAGATGCTACGCTCGTTAAACGGTTGGACTCTTGCCGCTCTGACTAATTAGTTGAATAAAGTGCTTCTGCGGGCAGCTCTCTCTCTTTCTCTCGTGCTGGTGACGCCTGTGAATTTAGAACCGTTCGTTACGTGCCTCTGATCAATCAATCTGCGTATGCAAACCGGCGAAATATTTAACATAATTCAATTATAATAAATATTAGCGACATCTCACGTATCAATTGTCCTACAACGCGGGTTCATCTTTACATGTTACAGGATAAGGTATCTTAAAAGCATCTGCATATTCTTCTACGTTTCTGATTTCATTTCCCCATGAAATTTTGCCATTCCAATTTAGATATTTATTTGTAACAAATTATTCAAACTTCTATCACCTTCAACATCAGAAACAAAGATATTCACATCTTTTTTGTATATCTTATCCTTATACAATCAATTTAAAACCTTTCATAAAACATGCCCATGCTATGTAAATTGCATTTCGTTCTGTGAGGTTCGAGATTTTAAACAGACCACTAAAAGACATCGATTAAGAGGTGTCCGAGTGCATCCAAACCATTTACAAAGGATCAGATGTAAGTATACAAAACTATGAGACTGCAAGCCCAATGCAGAGATCCTTAGGAAACAAAAACCAACAAATGCTTTTCAGGCTGTGATCGTTTAATCAATGAAACGTAACGAAATCACCGAATGAAGTAAGAAGATCTAGCTACAATTATGTGAGTGAAAATTGTTTTTAAATAAAATGCTAAAGAATACGACGCGACACTTTTTATTCGTCAGTCTTTATTATACGAATATAACATAATTTTTTTCCCTATTCTCACAGAGGATACTGCAAGTGAACCATCTTGGTCGGTTCTTAAAGTTTAAACACGACACTTTATTCTTTTCATATTCGCACGAACAGCGATTTCTTCTATGTTTTTTACTTTGCGCCAGTCGAAAAAAGGCGCGGAAACACGCAATTTAATGTTGCTAATAACGAGCAATTAGTAGTGTACGCGTTAACTGTAATGATATTTACCTACGAGTATATCTCTCTTTCTTGTTTAGTTGAACTTTCATTGTGATTTTTTCTTTGAACACCGTGCGGGAAATCTCTTTTTATGATTTATGTGTGAGTGTTTTGTATTACGTGTATTTTCAGGCAACGATACAGGAGCGTTCCCTTCAGATCCTTCAGACTTATGCTAGAGTGATACCTTTTTCCTAATTCGTGTAAATCGTGCCGAATCGACGCGAGAAGGGATGTATGATTTTCAATGGATTTAACAGTAAATTTATAGCGATAAATGAAGGGAAATTAAAACTATTAAATTACCATGATTAATGAGATTCAACTAGTGAATTTCTTTAAGACACAAAGAAAAGAAAAGAAGCGAATACGTGCTGTGAATTCTTGGATATCGAGGGCTTACTTAAGATCTGTACAATTCTTAGGNACCTGTGTGCTCTATTACTCGGATAACTTCGTTAATATCGTAGTTATGTAATCTTGCGATAATAGCGGGGACGATAATTAATATTAAAGAAAATAATGATTAATAGTAAAGAATGAAAAACAAAAAAATGAAATCATTAATTATAGCGATTGTTTACTTCTTAATATCAGAGATCTACGTAAAAGACAGTGGTAGATTAATATCACAATAGGACTACTCAGGCCTCGTGAAACTGGGGCAAACACTTCGTTTCCAGGAGTTTGCGCCATTTTTCTTCCTCTCTTCCCTTCTTTCTTTCATTCATGCACACCAATGTTTACGTTGACGTTTCATTATCGTTACTAATCGGTACGACCCTGTTGCCACGGGATTTCAGCCGAGTTCTTTACCCCTACCTCTTTTCGTTTTCCCTTAAATTCCTTCTTCCAACAACTCTAACCGCGATTCGATGATAATGCTCGATGAAAAATTTTCCTATCCAATTTTTCGTGCCGCGCGGGGTATCTCGTTATTAAAAACGCATTCACCCTCTTTCGCTGCTCACCTCTCGTACACATATCTTATCTATTAGTTAACCATAACATTAATTTGCGCTTGTCGATTGCGAACTGGATCCTTACAACATTCCTTCTGAACGATTATCCTACACAATTCATACATTCACCATGGAACACATTTTTACACATGGAAACTGTGCGAATGAGAAACACGTCGTTCGCGTCATTGATCTCTTCGGATCAGTGAACGAGATTGTTTCGCGCTCGAAGTGGATGCGACAGAATCGCAGTCTCGAACGACGTGAAACGCTTATCGACGAAAGAAGTATGCAAAACGACCCTTTCTTCCTCGACGTGATTTCGTAACGCGTATCATCGGTTAGAGTAATAAAATTCTCGCTACACATGGAGGACAAACGAATGAATGACAAACTTGCGCGGAGGGGAACGAAACTCTACTTCCAATCGACTTCTACGATATCAATGCGCGCGTCGTTTACGATATTTTACCTGAGTCGGGCCGCTGGGATCAGGCATTTCTTTCTCGTCATCAGTTGCGACATAGTAAAAACGAAACGGCCGCGTTCTTTGCTTCTACTGTACTAAAATCGTGCTGTTTTTTCGCGGCACGTCGTTAGAATATCTTGACCTTCGATGTATGTCGAGAGATTAACAAGAAAACCTAGACTAGTTTTCTGACACCGATCGGACCAATCCTCAGCTAGCCAACTTTACATGCCTCGATGTCATGTATTTCTAAAGGTACTCCTCACTCTTCGAGCACACCAGACATGTCGAACTTCACTATACTGCATTATAACGAGTAAGATAAATGCGTACTCTTGCGAGAAATGCATAATGTGAGCAATTTTGGTCTTAAACCTTGTACGTTTTATGTATATGGTTTTCTCTTATTGTCGTGATCAAATCATTCTAATGTTGCTTATTTCCAACACAAAAATCCATGAACAATTAATAGTTCTCTTGTTTGTATGAAAATCGTTCGGTATTGCCCCGGTGTGTATCTCGTAGAGCGAGCGCGTCGTTCAATCGCGACGCGGTACGCGCGAAAAGTATATCTAGAAGTGAGTGGCGCGAAACCGATTTCATAATATTGGCGGTAAAAACGTACCGGAATCGTCGAGATTCGGATCCAGACTCGCGACGATATCGCCGGTCGAGGCGTGCCTCGAGGTAGTGGTCTGCGTGCTACTCGCGAGCGCGTGGCTACTTGCGCTCCCGTTCAACTTGCTCTTCACCACGAGGCCGGTGCTGTTGTCGGTGTTCTTGGTCGTGCTGATACTCTGTATATACTTCCAACTTTTGTACAACGGGTACTTCGTGTACAGTGGTTCCTCAACGGTAGTCGCGCGTTGCCTTGGCGCGCTCACTGTCACGCTGACCGTTTGCGCGTGGGCCGATTGCGAAGAGGTCTCCATACTCGTATTGTTGGCGTTCACGTTCACGTTCGCGTTCGCATTCGAGTTTACCGTCGACGCAGCTATCGTCGACGTCGACAAGCTGACATGAGAAGTAGATGAGTTTAACCATTCGTGGCGCATCGCCTCGTCGGGGGTCATGCGCTTTTTTGGATCCCACCTGACAAAAAAGAAGTAAGCTGTCATTAAGGATATATTCTAGCTTAGAACAATATTTTCGAATTGAGATTGAATAAAAGAGCAAGAGACCACTTACTCGAGACATCTGCTAACGAAGTCTACGAAAAGCGTGTCGTTGCAACGAAGGGCCATCGCAAGATTCTTGCTACCAGCCCACCTCTTTTTCCCCTTGCTGTTTGTTACGCATCGCGGAATGCCCTTCGGGTCTGAAAACGATCATTACGATTTCACCTAACAAAATTACACACCATCCTACCAAACATTCTTAACGTCCATAACAAAGGATTCTCTCCATCTTTCTTATTCCCGATACCTCTATGTAATTTGTCAGCTTTCCAATAATACATTGGCACGGATAAGGATACAGCAATTTCACGGTCGTACTCACCGAAGAAAAGCCTGCGACGGGACGCGTGATTAATAATGTGTTCCGGCGGCAGGCCAAGAACTTCCATGATGCATGCGAGCTGTTCGATCTCGTCCTCGCCAGGAAACAATGGGCAGCCGGTGTAAAGTTCGGCGAGAATGCAGCCCAAACTCCACATATCGATCGGCGTACCATAAGGAAGACCCAGAATCACTTCCGGACTTCTGTAAAACCTCGACTGGAGGTACGTGTACACACGCTGGTGACTGTAACACGAGGATCCGAAATCTATCACCTTAATCGAGCTGCTTCCCCGCTGTTTAAGAAGCACGTTCTCCTGCAACGAACACGAGATACGTACGGAGATTAGAAAATGGTATTAAGCGAAGAGACCTCACGCCTATTAACCCCCCACTGCATTCTTCCTGCTTTACATCACTGTTTACTTTGCTCACAGCTAGCCAGTTCATTAACGCGTGGGCCACGACTTTTATCAAGCAAACAGAGATGCCTTTTAGGTCAGAATAAAATGGGAAATAAAGGAAACGAAGTAGACAGAAGTAGATAAAAACTTTGTCGACGATACTCACGGGTTTCAAATCGCAGTGAATGATCTTTTCTCGATACAAAAGTCTGAGGCAGCTAATTAACGAGTTAGCGAATCGTCGTATTAAGCTCAGACTAAATCCCTTATAGTTACTCTTTTTGATTAGCTCGTACAGATTCAAACTGAAATACAAAACAAACTTTTGTTAAGAAACACGTTCCTACTTCGGCGATAAGAGTATAAATACACCTTTTTAATACTTGAAAAATAATAATGAAGTAATGTAGTCTAGTTAATTAATTTTCACCAACTGAAAGTAGGCTTCGCGGAAAGGGACGAACCCTCTTCACGAAGATTAAAGAAAAAGAAAAGGAAAGGGGCGAAGGACAACGTTTCGTACCTCATTAACTCGAAAGTGATACACAAGTGGTTCCTGAAGTAGAAGTATTCTAACATGTGTATCACATTGTGCGACGCGTTCGCGTCCAAGTCTTTCTTCCTGAGGTGTTCCAAGATTTCAACCTCGACCAGCGCCTGGTGATGGAATCTCTTTTTGTTCCTGGAAAGAGAAAGAGAGAACGTCCGGATAACGCGTCGACCGTCACTTTAAAGCCGAACGAACAAAGCGGATAAAACGCGGCGCGACGTGCGCCTGTGAAAGGAAGCGAAGGATTCTCGACGATAAAAGAGACGACCGTGATCGCCTCTATGCTAATTTCAAAACTGATTCACCCCGTTCGATGATCGCTTTGGACATATTCGCTCACCTGATGATCTTGATCGCGATGTACTGTCCTGTCTTGTGATCCAACGCTCTGATCACTTGCCCGAAGCTTCCTTTCCCAATCACTTCCAGTATCTCGTATCTGTACATAAGATCATCAAGTTTTCTGTTTGGTATTTACTATAAATTTAAAATGATCGATGTCTTTTTTAATTTGACTGCCTTAACAAATCTTTATAAGATATTTTTATGATTTAAGATTTTGTTGCTCTAGCTTCATTGTAATTTAATTGGTAGACAATATTTTTTCTTTCAACGAAGATATCATAGTCAGATACAGTTTTCCGGCGATGTTTGAACGTCTGTAGACTTGTTTCTTCAACAACCGTATCTCGCTTCGCGCAGTATAGTAATTGTTCCCCCATAATTTGACTTGCGATAAACGAGCGAAAAGCAGCAGAAATGCGATTGCGGGCTACATTGCATGTACATGACTGAAAGGCGATATTTACCCCGTTTCGGTTGCATCGTCTTATGCGTTTCTCTTCGCTTTGAAGTATTGTCTTGCAATTTATAAGATAAAGTTGCAACCTTGAACGTACACAAAGATTAACCAGATAGTTTATTCAAAACAACGACTGATTTCGTTCACCTTTATGCATGTGCATTAACATTTGATCCAATTGTACTAAAAACTAAGAAAACTCGAGTTTTCGCATGGAAGAGAACACAGGCGAAAAAGATAAAAGTCTTGTTTCATTTCTCGGTTTAACTAACGAATAGAAGACAATTAATTATTTACTGCTTCCGACCGCCTATGAAATCGCGACGGCAAGCAGAGACCGTGAAATCGACATCAGCGTAAAACATTCGTTATTAGGTGTCGCGCTATTGAATGGAAAGTTCTCAAGGAGAAAGAGCCAAGACCGATGAAAAAGGTAGAAGATAGGAGGAAAAACTCACCTGTAGGAGATATGATCGTGGAAGACCTTGTTGTAACTACCATTCTCGTCATCGTATCCACCGTTCTGCGATGCACCCTCCTCCCCATGAATTTTCGTCGCAGACAAGCCAAGATACCAAATCTCCGAGTACTTCTCGACTTCAGCTCGCTCAAACTCTGTCAGTCTCGAACCATAATACTTGAGAGCCTCTGAGGCTGTCATTGGCAAGCTCGTCGCTAAATAGGAAGAATTCGGATATTATAATAGCATAAAAGTTTATATTTAAAGAAAAATAAATTCATTGAGGACAAATATCAATTTCTATTTTTAGACGAAGTAGAGTTATCGAGTTTGTACGAATACAAGTTTAATCAAGAAATGTGATTATGCAATTTCAGACGTATTTAGATAGAATTTATAAATCTTTTTAACATAAAATTAAAAATACATTCATTAACATTGACGGTAATGAAATTGTTAAGTATTGAAACCTGTTATGAATGGAAATCTTTTAAATTGTTGTATAATGCTTATGAAACCTGTATTTTGCTATCTGATCAAATAATTATTTTGATAAAATTTTACATAAAACATATTTGAGAGATGTAGGTCCAGGATCATTTATTATTCGGTCTCAGGAAACCCGTCGTTAAGTGAAATAGCAGCAGCAACCGCACCGGTTCAATTTTATGCTAATGCAAAACTGTACGTACGATATACATTGCGAGATGTGGCGTTGATAGGGTCGTGTATCGGCATGTTGTTATGGATGTTGTTGGTGGTTGTGGTGGAGTTGTTGGTCGTGTTGTTGTTGTCCGATTTATCGGCCCGCGTCGGCCTGGGATGAAAGAATGCCAATACTTTCTGAAACAAAGGATCATAAAGCTCGTATATAAATATCAGTATTATCAAAGAGAGATCACATCTTATGCTAACAGTAAATATTGAACAAATTTCTCATAATTAGAAGTTTCTTCATTAAAGCATTTATTATTCGTATTATATTAAAAAGATTTTATCAGCATTTTCTGAAATTAAATATTATTCAGAATAAAAGAGAATTCGTGTTAAAATCTAGTCGGATCTGTGAAACGGCAACTATAATTCATTTCCTGAACCTGAGAGCGAACGGAACTTTTCCATCAAAACGACCGAGACCAAAAACACGTTTTTCCAGCACAGCGTCGGCGCCGACGTGTTCTCAACTTTCAAATTTATTTAACCAGGCTGGACAAAGAAGGTCGCGTTTTCGTCGCAGTATTTTACAATCACCGAGTTTCTCGAGGGGAAAGTGGGATAACGGGGTGGCTGCAATAAATTCCGCCGGTGGACGTCGATGGCAACGAGAATCACATTGCATCGGTGATTACGTTCCGTTGCTCCGTTCTCGTGATCGTAATACAAGATCCGAAGCATATTTGAAGTCCAGAACACGTTGCACCAACACCGTAAAATCGTTTAAAAAGCCTCCCTTTTTAACGAAATCTGGGTCATCCATCATCGTCGATAAGCGACGACTACCCTACCGTAAATTATTTCACGTTCGTGGAAACAAAGCATTCGAAATGGCTTGCTGTATTTCAAGTAAAAAGCGTGAATAGGGAGATTGTGCAGAAATAAAGTATACCTTTTTCTACATTTAATGGATATTTAAAATTAACTCTGTTCGTTTACATTTACTTATTAAGCGCCTTTTATGTAATTAGTGAAATAATTTAAAATCATGTTTTATTGTTCTACGATCTCGGGCACCATTTAGAAAATTCTGTGCCAGTTTATTTTATTCGGGACATGACCGGCAGATGTGCATTTACATTATTCACCATCTCGTAAAGTGAAATTATTTTCAAACTTTCCATAAAGCACATACTGAACACTTAACGATCATTAAATCTCACACGTCACAAATAAAGAGGAAAGAAAGGAGAGAAGACTAATTATCTGTTGCCCCGTTTTCGAATTCTACTCAACGCATAAACAAACTTAAATTTATTTATACTTAAAAGAAGACAAACAAGCATGGTTCATAAATCATATTCCAAATTACACATCAAGAAGTACAATTCAAACCATGAAGTGAAATCAAAATGATAGAAGAATGCATTGTTGAAGCAGTGGGATATTTAGATCCGGAAAAAATAGACAAATACAAACAACTACCTCTTTCAGAGAGAACTACTGATAGACAATATTAATTAACTTAAAATGTAGGAGAATAACTTCAGGCAATAATTCAAAATAAAGATGTATATTTTTGAACAATTTTAGATGAAATCATTGATAAAACTGAATTTGCTCAAATATTATATTTTAATTTTAATCGTGCTATAACTGTAGATTTTCATCATTACGAGGAACTACTGGCTTTGAGCATGCTCACTGGAAGGACTCGTACAATTGATATTTTTAACCAATTTAGAGAAATGCGTCGTGAAAGAGAACTAAACCTTCACATGAGACAGGTTACCCATCCCTGAAAAAGAATATTATAAAACAACTAGATCTGTCGAATGATCTCTTGTGGAACGAAGGAGCAAGAGATGGAAGGAAGGATGGGACACAATAAGCGGTGAACGTCGGATTATTGACCCTCGGCAGTGGCTCAACGAGTTTAACGACACCGGGAGAAACGAGCCGACAATTATGTCTCCTCTTTCAGGCATTAAAGCGTTTCGTTTGCGAAGCATCGCCTTTCCGTATGGCCAAGGGCAGTCGCTGGTCGCCTGCGCCGTTTGAATGATAATCAGTCGTTTCCCTCCGTTCGCGCTCGTTCGTTTCTCTCCGCTATCCTGATAACGACCGATGCTGTTTTACACGACCCACCTTGTCCATTAATTCTCTCGACGCATTATTTTCTATCCGGATTTCACGATTTGCGTTTGCTTCTCGGGTGTACACTACTCGTACAGAGAGAGACCTCTCGTCCCTCGCGAGTTACGAGCTCGTGAAACGCGATCGATCGAGACACGCCTGGGAAACCGAGCGAATTCGCTCCTTTGCACGATCCCTGCTAGCGAAGAATAGTTGCCGTATAGATGCGAAGAGATGTTGCTTCACGCGTGGAAACGTGGGTTGTGGAAAGATTTTATAATTTTGATGCCGAGGTTGATTTATGAGCTTTACCAGCTGTGATGGATGTTGAATCACGTCGCCGAGCTGTTACCGAGGAATGGAGTTTCGTGCAAGGAAATTCACCAAAGTTACATTTCAAGTGATTTAATTGTACGATAAGTGCGACACGATTTTGATACTACGAATCTGAGTAACGTTCAAGATTAATTTATATCTGTCGAAGACTAATAAACGCACTTCACACGTTATTTCTGTGTCTTGTTTTTTATTTCTACTTCTCCCCATCGTCCGTGGAATTCGTCTTTCGTCTAAAAACATTAATTGCCAAGGTTCTTCCGGAGATTTTATAATGCAATCTTACGCAAGGTTATCCACACGTATCGACAATAAAATTAATTTGTTATTATTTGAAAGTTCACGTACATAAGTATGTATTATACATATACATGTTTTCGATTGTGCTGAAGAATACATCCCGTTGTATAAAAATAATGGATCATTAACTGTACATGCACCTAATTACTCTGTTCTGATTTTTAGATAAACTTCAGAAAACTTTACAGAAGCCTGAGCATATTAGCCATTAATTAAAACAACAGTTATTAGCGAGACGGAAATAAACGTGTTTTCCGTTGGCTAGGCGAACTGAAAAGAAGGGGAAACGAGATACAAAAGTCCAGGAGTTTTACACAGATCATAACGCTGACTTATAAAAGAACGAGAAAGTTTCTGGCTCATTTGCAGCGTAGCTCGCATCTTATAAACTTCGTTAATCGCAAACTAGTTCATTGGAGTAATTCACGTAATCGTGGGATCGCGTGTTCATTTGCGTTGAAAACGATACTACCAATTAACCCGAAGTAAACTCAAACTCGGTTCACGAGATAATATCAAAAATGTCTTCCTTATACGTACACATAGTATATTAACTGGCTCGACAAGAGCTATGAATGTAACATAAATCAAAGCGAAAAGAGATTTAGATTATTAGACGCATAGGTTGAAGAGTGAGAATTGCTTCTCGAAAAGGCATTCATAAAGGTACACACAGCTTTTTCATTAATCGATTCTATAGAACTTGTCACTCATAGAGAGAGGAAGAGTCAATTTTCGAGGGACACTTAATTGAGTGCGCGCCTAGCAAAACGATTCAAACAATTGATTAAGGTTAACGACGATCAAGAGCAGATAAATGCTGACATAAATTTCTATTAAAGAGTCATAAGACCGCATGTAAGTGTAGTATCCCTTGGTAGAGATTGTAATGAAAATTTAAACAACACATGTTGACCATGTTCACTACTTTCATAAGTAAGAGATTTCTTAATTGAAGGTAAAAGTAGGTTTTTATTTCTGATTTTGTAAAATTGATAGTTACGGGTAACGTTTTGCACTCGTTGCCTTTGATAATAATTTAAAATGATTATCACAATTAATATCCACACATATTTAATTTAATGTAAGTTAATGTCTACCGAAAAGATAGATTTTAATTTTTGGGATGTTTGAAGTAATTTAAGAGAATTCTGGCGGTTAGATTAGGCTTGTCTGCGTTTCCTCGTTCGCGTTAATAGGAAGCGACTACTAGTGGTCATTGGCCTAAGAGTTACATAGTGGTTTAGATAAGCATAACTGGCTGCGGTTACCAAGACTCAAGTTTAAAATGCTTGTCGCTTCTGCTAATACCGTTTATATGTAAATGTATTATCGAATTCGGTCAACCAATATATGTAATTTACTGTAACTGTATGACATTGGTAATGGATAAAAAAAATGCATTTATTCTCAATTTACAGATAAAAAGTAAGCCACTGGAATAACCGAATTTCTCTTTTGGTTGCACGCATAAATTTTAATTTTCCTAATTTTCTGCTTTTCATTCTTTCTCTTTCTTCACCGGTCTGAATTTCGATCAAGAGACATTAAATGGTTCAAAAACAGAAATAAAACGCGAGGATTCACGAGCAGCCAAGATTCACGCGACGATAGGTACCGCAAGCCAAATCTGCGTGACCCTCACGTTCGAAGTTCTTTTTGTATTATTTTAATACATGGCCACTGTTCACCTGTCTCTTCTTCACTTTAAATAGCAACCCATTCTCAAGCATGAAGTATACTTATAACATATTAAGACTTTCTCAACAGAAGAAAAGATTATTTCAGAATTGCAAGGAAAAAATGTGGACGAAGGAAAAAGTAGGATACGATGTTAACAGCGAATTTTAGTCAAGGGCGGTTGAGCGTTCCAAGTCGAACGCGTGTTCGATCTTCGAGATAGGAGCACACGTACCTATCTACAGTATCCCAACATCCGAGTTATGCATGCGGTTTACCTTGTGACATCTCTCGGTTGCAGCCACGCGCCTTTCTAATGCGATACCTTCACATAATCGCCAAGACCTATTATCTACGGGGTGTACCAAAAGAAAACTCATCGCCAAGCTTAATATTACGTCATAAGTGCATTCATTATATTCTCTCATATAACAGCTAGTTATTGTTAATTGTCAAACATAGATTATTAATATAAATTAAATGTACACATTGCTTATGTGTGTCCATTAAAAGCTTTTTTTTCCCAACTGATTATTCAATTATCAATTTATTGATGAGATAAATTTTTAACTCAGAAATTCTTTTATTGATAGGACCTATGTATTTTCTAATTGAAATCATAAAAATTGCTATTACTCATATACATCAAAAAAATATGTTCTAGTTCCGGTTGAACGAACCTGGACAGGGATACGTGGCACGAGACTCGATATCAGACGTTTTTTGAAGTTCAAAAA